GTGCTCCCGAAGTGAGCACCTGAGATTCTTTCTTGATAGCTTCTTCTCCCTCATATTTCGCCTCCAGTCACCAAGCACTGTCCTTTTTTAAATAAAAGCCTAATCTTTCTGCTTCTCTCTGTGTCTATTCTTCTTGCACCCCATTCTGAGGTCTTCCTCATCTCTTGCTTGGACACCTGTAACAGCCCCCTAATTCCTGCCTACATCTTCTCGTTAACATTAACTTCAACCTTTTCATGCTTCCCACTCTCTGATGAACACCTGTCTTTCCAGCTCATTCCCTCTAGCACCCGACCCCAATCCACTGATCCTCCCACCCTTTAAAACTTTATTTTTATTTACTTAAAAAAAATTTTTTTTTAAAGACTAGTCAAGTGAAGCAATGGGAGTGGAGAAGGAACAAAGGAATCTGTAACTGGCTGTGATCAGTTAGTTGTAAACACCACACGCTCATACCAGCCCCTACCAGCTTCTGGTCTCCTTCAGCAATTTGCTGCTCTCCCTCCTTTCCTTAGTATCGATTCCATGGTGAATCATTATAATCAATCCCGTACATAGGCCCTTGACTCCTTGTTCCTCTCCCACTTCATATACTTCCTTGTAAAACCCAACTCTTTTCCTACTCCGCACTTGCGCCTGAGCAGGTGAACATGGCTAGAGAAAATCCAGCCATGCTTACCCGTCTTCCTTTAGGTTCGGCTGCATGAACCTCAAGTGGGCCTCAATGCCAGCAGGTAATTGACTCTGCCTGGTTCCTTCCCTCACTCACTAGCAACTCATCCAGTGACCTTTCACAGTGTTCTCTCACCTCATCCACCCCCGACACTTCCTCCCTAGGGGTAAATCCAAGTTTCAAATTTAAGTGTGCTTAGGAAAGGGAGATTTAATTTTTTTCATAATAGTTTGTGATTCTCTGTATTTAGATGTTTGTATGCTTCCCTTTCTACTTTTGTAGCTGAAGATTTTTGTTTCTTTCTGGTGTTTAGCTGAGTAATTTCCTCCATAAATTTTATTCCATTTAGACTTCTACATAGTAGGATCACATCTATCTTATTTTTTTTTTTTTTTGAGACAGGGTCTCACTCAGTCTCTCTGGTTAGAGTGCAGTGGCATCATCATAGCTCACAGCAACCTCAAACCGGTGAGCTGAAGGAATCCTCCTGCCTCAGCCTACCGAGGAGCTGGGACCACAGGCACACACCACCACATCCAGCTAATTTTTTTATTTTTTTGTAGAGATGGGGGGGGTCTCATTTTTGCTCAGGCTGGTCTTGAACTCCTGGTCTCAAGCGATCCTCCCACCTTGGCTTTCCAAAGTGCTAGGATTACAGGTGTGAGCCTCTGTGTCCAGCCTCATTTTCTTGATAGTGTCCTTTGATGTACAAGAGTTTTTAATTTTGATGAAGTTCAGTTTATCTATTTTTTCCTTTGGTTACTTGTGCTTTTGGTGTCATATTTAAGAAACCATTGTCTAGCCCAAGATCACAAAGATTTACACCTTCTAAAAGTTCTACAGTTTTAACTCTTACATTTAGGATTTTGATCTACCCTTTATTTTGAAGACAAAACCCCCAAATTTTCCTTACCAACTGTGCCTCTTTCGGTTCTTTCCCAATTTATTTAAAGATAAAATTTACCTTAAGTCCATCAACATAGAGATAACAGGAACACACTAAATTTGACAAGTTCAGAAGGCAGTTTCAGGTAAGACCCATCTTACATAGCTTTACAGCTATCCCTCTTCCAATTCCAGCTATCCCTAAAGAATGCTGCAGCACAACTGTGCACAAGAACCTTGTCTCTCCAGCCTCCCTTCTCAGCTGCTGGCAGAGTCCCACACCATCCCTTTAGGAGTGATATTGGTACCATTTGAATTTGTCATCTGATATCCTGGAATAGTACTAGGTTCTAGAAAAACCTTTATGGTTAAAGGGAATACCAGACAAAAGATATCTTGAAACAAGAGGGAACACACACTGAGAAAAAAGAAACAACTGTGGAGGCCAAAAGGAAAATCTCTAAAATTCAGTACAGCAGAGTAAAATGGAAGATACAAAAAAATTGAATTTCACACAGATGAAAACAAATTCTGTGTGTAGTTTTAAAATTATATATACTCCATATAAGAAGTAAATGATTATTAATTTTCTTACCTCTTGAACATCAAACCTCAGGATATCCTTCATGTAAGTTGGCAATAATGTCAATAAAGTATAAAAAGTCCAATTGTAAGAAAAATGTGCAACTACAATTGCCCAAAGTGGCAGTGATTTCAAAATGGGTACCCACGGCACTGACTTCTGTGAAGAAAGCTGAAGAAAACAGGCTCAATTAGGATATGCTATAGCTGTATTAATGCTTAGATCCATACCATATCCGCTAAAACTCAATCTAGAACACATGTAGAATATCAGCCTTAATTAGTAAACTTCAGAGTTTTAAGCTGATTCCTTTGAAATATTAAGTAGCAAAATACACGATAAATGTTCAGGTGTTTGATTATTTATTTATTTGAGACAGAGTCTTGCTATGCTGCCCTGAGTAGAGTGCCGTGGTGTCAGCCTAGCTCATAGCAACCTCAAACTCCTGGGCTCAAGCAATCCTCTTGCCTCAGCCTCCCGAGTAGCTGGGACTACAGGCACATGCCCCCACACCTGGATAATTTTTTCTATTTTTAGTAGAGACTGGGATCTCACTCTTGCTAGACTGGTCTCAAACTCCTGAGCTCAAGCAATCCTCCTGCCTCGGCCTCCCAGAGTGGTAGGACTACAGGTGTGAGCCACCTCACCTGGTCTGTTTTTTATTTTTAATAAAGGGATTTGTTCTGTACAGTTGTTTGATTTTTAAAAAAATATATTAACTATTGAGAGTCCATGATTCAGATTAGAGGAAAAAATGGAAATGCAATCTTAGAGCTACAATGTCAACTCTAAACACTCTTTGGAAGGTCCAACGAATTCATATTTCATTATCCAATTCAATATTTTAATTACTCTTATTGAATATAATTCAATTAAAATGATTTATAAGAACTGTGCAATAGGAGGTTTTTGTATGTAGCTATGTGGAGTAGTGGTCTTCAAAGTGGGGTGTAAACACCCCAGGGGTATTCAAGATAATCAATCCAGTGGGGTAGGAAATTTCTATTTATACTCATTTTTTATTCTAAAAAAAGAAATTAAACTCTATTAATATGTAATAAATAGTTAGCCCTAGAGTATGTCAGACAATTACAAATAGTATGATTTTCCCCAATTTGGGAGGGTTAATGAGGGCATCCTCATTTGTTTGTTTACATTATAAACAAACAAGTGTATTATAGCATGTTGCAGCTTACACTTGCATTTTTAAGTAGATTTATGAATTTTATTAGCCAGTTTTAATTAAAACAAACCTCACAAAATTAATAGTGTCTTCAAAAGTTTCCTGCAGAGCAATAGTCAATAAAAGAGAATTCTAATAATATAAGCACAGTGAACACTAAGAAAATCGTAAAGCTGCTACTTTTCCTCATGAGTCTTTTGTTAGATACCTCAAAAAGCAAAATAGGCCGGGTGCGGTGGCTCACGCCTGTAATCCTAGCACTCTAGGAGGCTGAGGCCGGGAGGATTGCTTGAGCTCAGGAGTTCGAGACCAGCCTGAGCCAAGAGTGAGACCCTGTCTCTACTATAAATAGAAAGAAATTAGCCAAACAACTAAAAAAAGTTGAAAAAATTAGCTGGGCATGGTGGCGCATGCCTATAGTCCCAGCTACTTGGGAGGCTGAGGCAGGAGGATTGCTTGAGCCCAGGAGTTTGAGGTTGCCGTGAGCTAGGCTGATGCCATGGCACTCTAGCCCAGGCAGTAGAGTGAGACTTTGTCTCAAAAAAAAAAAAAAAAAAAAAAAAAAGCAAAATAATGGCAGATCATCAAATATAACATATTCAATCTCATTGCTCTCATTAAATATTATTATAATATTAACAAAATATTACTAATTTTTAAGTGATAGCAAAAAGGTTTATCCTATTAAAATTTAAAATGTATGTATATACTATTTACTTCAGCTTATTCAGCCTTTAAAAGTTCTGTTCTTGCATATATTTTATGATGTACATAAGTACAGTAGTACGTGTAGATAACCTGTGAATAAATATACACACGTTCAGATCGTGAGCCCCGCGCCTGATTATTGGTGGGTGTCATGATCAAGAAAGCTTGGATACCACTGGTCTGGGCCATCAGATGTTTACATGTCCTAAATATTGACTGAGCCTCTATGGTTTTTCTCTACAGCAAGAGCAATCTATGTTTCTGCCTCCAGGGTTCACTGTTATTTCAAAAAGAGGAAGAACCAGTATTAACCTTCTTTTGGCCTTTTTTCTTGAAACTTTTTATTTGACATCTTGGTAGATATGCTCCTGTGTTTCCCAGTGTGATCAAAGATGTAGGGGGTGTGGGAGAAGAGAGCAGAGGGAACATTTATTCTTTTATGGCAGTGGTTCTCAATTCCAGCTATACTTCACAATCACCTTTGACACTTTGAAATTATAGATGTCTGTGTTCTACCTAAGACTTATTGAATAAACACAATAAAACCAAGAAAAATAAAAAAACCTCTGCGTGTAGGACAGAAAAATCTAAAATTTAAAAAGCTTCACAGGTGATTCTACAGAGCAATGGTTAAATGCCTGAGGTGATGGACACCTCAATTACCCTGATTTGATTAATTCACATTGTATGTCTGTATCAGAACATCACGTGTGCCCTATAAATATATACAACTATTATGTGCCCATAATAATTAAAAATAAAAAATTAAAAAAATTATTTGTTGTCAAATGTGTGAAATCTAGAATATAGGGACGGTAAGGTCATTCAACAAATATTTCAGTATCTTCTAACGTGCCATTTCATAAAAAAATGTTTTCTTGTCAAATATGAGTAATGGCAAATTGATTTAGGAAAGTTACATGCAATAAATGTTCTTAATTTATGGCAACTAAATATTCAAACAAAGTTCCCCATTTTATTTGCTTCATAATGCTGCAAAGTTACATATTCTTCCTAAAAGGTGTACAGGAGAAACAAAACAGTTATAAAACATACTATCCTTAAGAATTAAGAAAGAACAGAAACAAAACAATACCAGGTATACAGGAAAGAATAACTTCAGTAAGTGAAGTAGTAATGTCTTTTCACCATTCACTAAAAAGAGGTCTTCAAAACAGCAGTAGCTGATGATCTTAAAGCACTCTCTAGTATAGGTGGTCTATCCCTGAGCTAGTTATGAGATAGCCTTCTAAATTTAACTTCAGGATGCTCTGCAGGTTTTATTCCTCTTTTTGCAGCACTTTTTTTCTTTTTAAAATTTTATCGATACATAACAGACGTACATAGTTTTAGGGTATATGTGAAAATTTAATATTTTTATATAATTTGTAAAGATCAAATCAGTGTACTTGGGATCTCTATCACCTTAAATATTTGTCTTCTTTGTGCTAGAAACATTCAAATTTCTCTCTTCTAGCTATATTGAAATGTGTAATAGATTATTGTAAACTACAGTCACCCTACCGATCTATCTATCATGGGGTCTTATTTCTTCGATCAAACCATATATTTGTACCATTAATCAACTTCTCTTCATCCTCCCTCTCTCCACTATCCTTCCCAGCCTCTGGTAACCACCAATTTTAGCAATTTCTGCATCAGATTTAGAACTATATATGCTGCCATAATACTTAATTAAATACCTAATACTTAAGTTTAAGAATGAAATAACATTTCTACCTATAGGCACTGACTCTTACTTAGCTGGATAACCAAGACAGCATTCTAACTGAAACTCCTGCTTGTTCCGCTAAATCTTCCCTCCAGACAACAGTCAGCATAAGCAATCTAAAAGGCAAACCTGCTTCTGCCACTTTGAGCTTACAAATACTTCATGGCACCCCAGTGCCCAAAGGATAAAGCCTAAGCTCCTTAGTGAGACACAGGGGACGTTCCATGATCTGACCTCCTCTTGCCTCCTCCATCTCCTGCCACTCTTTGCCTTGTTCATGTCAACAACACCAACTGTGCACATTCTGGAAGTTATCACTCTCTCTCTCCTGTGCCTTTGCTCATGGTATATCCTTGGCCTGGAATGTCTGCACATCTCTCATTCCCCTAATTTGCCTGCTTAACTCCAACTTCCCTTTCAAGACTGTTTAGACACAGCTTCCACCAATGAGAAAGAAAAAAAGCAGTCCTTGCCTGCTGTGAGCTGAGCATGACTGGTTCAAATAGCTAGGCCATGGTGTTCTCCTGTTGAACTTAAACAAGGCCATTCTATGAGCATGCTGGAACAAGACAAAAATAAGACCACTCCACAATCACGTCTGAGCACAGACGAAAACAAGAATGCTATAAGCTACAAAGAAGAGCAAACATCTTCCTCTCCCAGCTAATGAGTGATTGCTGTGTCTTTACTAATTATAACTTTAGCCTCACCTTCCAGATAAAAATTCATACTCAATCATAGAATTGCTACTGCTTTCTTTTTTTGGAGAGAGGGTCTTGTTCTGTTGCCCAGGCTGGTCTCAAACTCCTGGCCTCAAGTGATCCTCCGACCTTGGCCTCCCAAAGTGTGGAGATTACAGGTGTGAACTACCACACCGGCTGCTACTGTTTTCTGACAACACCAAATCCAGAGCAAAACATTGGTACTTTACCCTCTCCCAAGTCACCTAATACAAGTCTAAACTATAATAAGATCCTCTTAACTTTGTAACTGAGATGTCCTATGGTTCCTCGTGACATGCTTTCTCTGGCACTGCAAGGAACCAAGAAACCAACTTTGTTCAATACAGGTGTGTTCCTGATGGTCTTAGGCCAGAAGGTATTGACACCAGGAAGACTTCCTATCCGTTCCAGGCCGGTTGAGGACTCCTGCCTTCTCTGTTCCAAAGATGTACTGTGTTTTATTTTTTCCTCTCATTCATTTCTAAGTCCTCAGTATCTGACAAAGAACCTAGGTCATAGTAGGGTCTGAAAAAATTGTTTGTTTAAAGAATGAATGAAGTAGAGTAGATACTGCACATTTCTTGGATCCAAGATTTAAAGGCGAAGCTTCATGTAACACATCATTATTTTATGACCTTTTCAACTACAACATCATCTGCTCTAAGAATGCAGTCTGGGGTTCTAGGAAACCTAATCCTCTTAACTCCTCTTGTGTCTGAATATTCCATTTTCTGAAGCATATAGAAAAATAACATAAGTTTGGATATTGGGCAGATTAAGACACATACCAAGATAGAGAAAGCTTTTTCAAGAATCTAAGAAAACTAAAAAGTTTCATAACTTTGTAAAAATAATGACAAAAATAATGTATTGGAAGAAGCAAACCGTTAATCTTCAATGCTGAGAAAATGTGAGAAAACATGTTTTACAGGGCAAGACCTGTTTACAATGTATTAAATTCTTTTTACCTATTCTTTAAGGGGAAAAGTGGGTGATTCATTTTAGACTATCATTTAAGACACTAAACTCTCAAAGTAATTTTTTTTTTTTTTTCATGAGACAGGGTCTCGCTTTGTTGCTCAGGCTGGAGTACAGTGGCACAACCATAGCTCACTGTAGCTTGAACTCCTGGGCTCAAGGGGTCTTCCTATACAGGTGCATGCCACCACACTCCTGGCTAATTTTTAAAATCTTTTTTTGTAGAGATGAGGTCTCACTGTGTTGCCCAGGCTTGTCTTGCACTCCTGGCCTCAGGCAATCCTCCCCTGCCACAGCCTCCTAAAGTGCTGGGATTATAGGCTCGAGCCATTGCCCTGGGCCTCTCAAAGTAACTTTTTAAATTACATTGATGATTTCTTCTAAGTTTTTGCCAATCTTTGGCAAAGACCAAGAGATGTCATATTTCTTAAAGTTCAGGTGCTTGTAGAGACATTTGTAGCAAAATTTAAAAACGTGAAATGTTAAGGAGTAAATTTTTAAACACAGCCTGGCTATACTATATATAAAAATTTGAAATATAGACTTGGTATGATGGCTCACACCTGTATGCTTGGAACCTGAGCAATTTCAGATTTCTGATTTTTTTGGATTTTGGAATATTTGCATTGCTTATATCAGTTGAGTATCCCAAATCTAAAAATCTGCAATCTGAAATGCTCCAGTGAGCATTTACTTTGAGCATCATGTCAGCACACAAAAAGTTTTGGATTTCAGAGAATTTCAGATTTTTGATTTTCAGAGTTGAGATGTTCAACCTGTATAAACACACTAATTGGTTTTGTTTTCTTTCTTTTTTTTTTTTTTTTTAGTTACCTAGCTAATTTTTTCTATTTTTAGTAGAGACAGGGTTTCACTCTTGCTCAGCCTGGTCTTAACTCCTGAGCTCAAGTGATCCTCCCACCTGCCTCCCAGAGTACTAGAATTGTAGGGGTGAGCTACCACGCCCGGTCACTAATTGGTTTTCTAACAACAAACAGAATGTAGGTATGAGATTTCTTTCATATTTTCTACTAATCAAGAAGAAAATACAAATTTATGACTCACTTGATAATCATTACTCTGAAAGTTTTAAAATGACTTTGAAAAGTAATTTTTTATAGTTTATAAAACTATACTTTCTATAGGAAATAGAAAGAATTAGAATTCCTCAGATAATATTTCATACATTTATTTCATTTGCTTATTCTATTTTGCCTAGGGCATGCATAATAGAAATATCTATATAAAAATTAGTATCTTAATTCTGAAGAAAAAAAGGTTCTGAAATTATTTTTATAATGTTCCAAAGTCCATACCTGATTTCTTAGCGATGAAATAATGTACTCCTTTTCATAATGGGAGATTGTCTTGTTAGTCTCTGGTGTGTCACTAACTAACCAGATCCATAAAACAAACCAAAATATTCCAAGTAAACCTTGAAATAGAAAATTAATAGTTAAATAAAATAAGAATGTACCAACAGCAATTTTTACATGTTTTGAGAAAATTATGTAACTATAAATTCAATGCAGAATTGGTTTCAGTACAGATTCAATTTCAAGTTTTCCTCAATTCTTTAATGGGATAATTGCTATAACTGTATTTTTCCTATAAATTTTGAAGGAAATAACTCAATTTTATTTTTTTTCTTCTACAGCTTCCTCCCCCCAAAACTTTTAACTATAACAGATAACTCTGTCAACATCTACCAGACAAATCTTTAAAATAAATTTCTGCAATCTATATATTTCCATAGGTATCTGTTTTTGTTTGTTGATTTTTTGGTTTCAATTGCAGATATAATTCCTGCATGAAATGTCTATGTGAAAATTTAATTTATTAAAAACGTGTATTATTTTGCCAATTAAATTGAGAAACAAAATGCTCTGGGACTAAAAAGAAAAAAAGATTAAAACTATCAAGTGAATGCATCCTACTTTGCTTGAGAAGAAATATTTTCAAAATACACATTTTTGTTTTTATAATACCCAAGACAATAATTTTTCCTAGTAAATGTGCCATTTAAGTCTAAGATCCAACAGTAGTTTTTTTTTTTTTTTTTTTTTTTGAGACAGTCTCACTCTTTTGCCCGGGCTAGAGTGCTGTGGTGTCAGCCTAGCTCACAGCAACCTCAAACTCCTGGACTCAAGCGATCCTTCTGCCTCAGCCTCCCAAGTAGCTGGGACTACAGGCATGCGCCACCATGCCCGGCTAATTTTTTCTATATATTTTTAGTTGTCCGATTAATTTCTTTCTAATTTTTAGTAGAGACGGGGTCTTGCTCTTGCTCAGGCTGGTCTCGAACTCCTGAGCTCAAACGATCCGCCCGCCTTGGCCTCCCAGAGTGCTAGGATTACAGACCTGAGCCACCGCGCCCGGCCCCAACAGTAGTTTTTATTGAGAAATATTCCAAAACTACCATCAGAGGTCATAACTCAGCTAGGTCATTTTAACTATATCAATTTGAGAAACAGGTTATCAGTAAGAGTTTTAGAACTTTGTGGTTTAGGAAATGATTGCTTCAGTGAGTTGGGGGATATGTGTGTGTGTGTGTGTGTGTGTGTGTGTCTATATATTTTTTATTCTTTATGTTTTTTATTTTTTTTTTGAGACAGAGTCTTGCTCTGTCACCCAGGCATCATTGCAACCTCAAACTTCTGGGCTCAAACGATCCTCCTGCCTCAGCCTCCCGAGTAGCTGGGACTACAGGCAAGTGCCACTGTGTCTGGCTAGTTTTTCTATTTTTTAGTAGAGACAGGGTCTCATTCTTGCTTAGGCTGGTCTCGAACTCCTGACCTCAAGTGATCCTCCTGCCTTAGCCTCCCAGAGTGCTAGGATGACAGGTGTGAGCCAACTCGCCCAGCCTGGAATATATATTTTTAATTCATTATTAGACTACTAATATATTTGGGAATTGCTGCATTATAATTTAGGTTAAATTTTTAAACTTACCAAAAAAGTAGAAGACATAAGTCCAATTCATATAGTAGCAAATTATTCCAGAAAGAGGAAGAGATATTACCGTCCCAAGCTGTGCTCCTAGAATAACACATAAGATTCTGTAAACTTTGGAGAGAGAAACAAAGAAGGGACAGGTCTGTTGCTTAAAGAAAATGGGTAACAGATTATGAAGAAAAGAAAGAACTATTCAAATCCAAAAAAGTTGAATTAGTCACATGTAAATATAAACAATCCGTTCTCTTAAGGGATTATTGACTAGAAAACCTACAATATATAAAACATATGCATTAGTATGTAGTTGCATTAGTTACAGCTATATAGCTACTGACTATTGATGAATTAGGACGTATCGATCAAAAGAAGACTCCTAATCTTGATAGTAAATGCTACTATTAGAAATCCAGATACCTGGGGAAAGGCTGAAAAGTGGTCTCAAGGCTTTTTTTTTTTAGGGGTGGGGGTTTGTGAGGAGAGGTGCTCAGTTGCCTTCTTTTTGTTGAGACAGAGTCTCACTCTATTGCCCTGAGTAGAATGCTGTGACGTCAGCCTAGCTCATAGCGCCCTCAGACTCCTGGGCTCAAGTGATCTTCCTGCCTCAGCCTTCCGAGTAGCTGGGACTACAGGCACACACGACAACATCTGGCTAATTTTTCTATTTTTAGTAGAGATGGTGTCTCGCTCTTGCTCAAGCTGGTCTGAAACTCCTGAGCTCGAGGGATCGTCCTGCCTCAGCCTCCCAGAGTGCTAGCATTACAGGCGTGAGCCACCACACCCAGCCTCACTGCAACCTCTAACCCCTGGGCTCAAGCGATTCTGCCTCACCTTCTGGGTAGCTGGGACTACAGGCATGTGCCCCAATGCCTGGCTGGGTTTTTTTTTTTTCCCTTATCTGTTTTGGTAGAGATGAGGTCTCATTCTGGCTCGGGCTAGTCTGGAACTCCTGAGCTCAAGCAATCCTCCTATCTCGGCCTCCCAGAGTGCTAGGATTATAGGAGTGAGCCACCATGCCTGGCCTTCAAGGCTGATTAACACAACCTACTGCATCAATCATTTGATGAAATAAGAATGAAGCTTTTAGTAATCTCCCTATATATTACAAACAATTGTTTCAGGTAAGTAAATAATAAAATACATTGTAACCATCAAATGCATCAATTACATCTTAGTAGGTGCTACAGGAGCTAAAATGATCAATTAGATATTGTTTCTGGTCTCAAGTTTTAGTCTCAGGTAGGAGATAAATATAAGCCAATAATTATTACATGTTAGGAAGTTTTGAGGGTCACAGAGCAACATGGAAATTCAAATACGGGAGATATTACTTCTGACTTCTAGAGGCCAGGAAAAGATATAAGCAGCAGACTTTGAAAAGATAGTTAAGATATGGTCCCATAGAAACAAGATTAGAAAAAAGATATAGAGGCAGAGTAACAGGACAAGCACAGGAATGGAAATTGGAAGGCAGAGAGTAGGTTTGGGAACTTTTCTTGGGTAAGGGAAAGGAGAAGAAGATAGTGCTGGAAAAATAGGTTGAACGGTCACTGAGTACCTACTCCATGCAAGGCACTATGTGCCAGGGATTAGGCTAGTTGCAAAGAAGTGGTGAAGACTGTGAAGAATCTTGACTCTTAGTTCAAGGAGTTTGGACTTTATTCAACAGGTAAAGGGGAGCCATAGGCTGGGTGCGGCAGCTCAGGCCTATAATCCTGGCACTCTGGGAGACTGAGGCGGGAGGATTGTTTGAGATCAGGAGTTCAAGACCAGCTTGAGCAAGAGTGACACCCCGTCTCTACTTAAAAAATAGAAAGAAGTAGCTGGGCAACTGAAAATGGAAAATAAAATTAGCTGGGTATGGTGGCACATGCCTGTAGTCCCATCTACTCTGGAGGCTGAGGCAGGAGGACTGCTTGAGCCTTGAAGTTTGAGGTTGCTGCGAGCTAGGCTGACACCACAGCACTCTAGCTCAGGTGACACAGTAAGATTCTGTCTCAAAAGAAAAAAAAAAAAGGGAGCCATAGATAGTACCTGTTCTTGAACTTATCATCAGATTTCTTATGTCAATCTTTACATTGCTATAAGAAGGATCTTCTTAAAATGTAAATTGGATTATGTTTCTACTTGATTGAAAACCTCTGATGTCTTCCCATTACATTTTGGGAAGAAAAATTTATATTCCTTTCTGTAGGCTGTAAGGCCTGATATAATCTAGGTCTTGTTCTTTCTTTAACCTCAGCTTATGCCATTATCCTCTTGATTCACTACATTTTAGCCACCCACAGTGGTTTTTCATCTCTTTGAACCCTTGTGTTATTTCCTGCCTGAGAGCCCTTGTACGTGCTGTTCTGAGGGGCTGGAATGCTCTTCTATCTGCTCTTTGCATGGCTGGTTTGTTCTTATCCTTCAGATTTTAGCTTAAAAGTCACCACAGACAGGCCTTTCTCAACTATATTTAAAAAGAAGTCAGGTCAAAAACTTTTCACTTGGAATAAAGACTAGAAGTTCTTATGTAATCTAATAAAATCATAATTCACATATATAAAACTCATATTATCTCACCTGTAGATCAAAAGGATGGCAAATAAATGCATAGAAAAAAGATGCATGAAGAGAGGGGCTGAGAGTCATGATATCTTCATTTGAAAATCAGAATAGAAACCACAATTTAAGGATGAGTGCCCAATTTTCTAACTATTTTTACTTTTTTTTTTTTTCGTACAGGGTCACTCTGTAGCCCAGGCTAGAGTGCAGTGGTGTGATCATAGTTCACTGCAGTCTTGAACTCCTGGGCTCAAGGAATCCTTTTGCCTTAGCCTCCCAAGTAGCTGGGACTACAGGCATGCGCCACCATGCCCGGCTAATTTTTCTAGTTTTTGTACAGACAGGGTCTTGCTCTTGCTCAGGCTGGTCTCGAACTCCTGGCCTCAAGTGATCCTCCTGTCTCAGCCTCCCAAAGTGCTAGGATTATGGGCTCGAGCCACTGTACCCACCTTGGCTTTTTTTTTTTTTTAATAGTATTACCTATACATGAAAAGGCAACATATTTTGAAATAAATAATGGCACATGGTGAAAATGACTTTATCAATTATGAGAAAAATTAAGAATAAAGTTGTACCCACAAAAGAGGTACCCATATTGCATGATTCTGGCATGAAGGTACTTTTTCCCCAAGGGTGATACACGTATAACAAATTATGGCAAAATTTTCATAAGAATAGTTATCTCACCTGCATATGAAATGCTAAGAAGTTTGCTTCGTTCAAGAGGGGGAGCCCAAGAAGACCACATGGCATGCATGGCTGGATATGTAACACCCTGAAGGGGAGAAAATGATATTTCTGATGAAATATAAGGTAGTTTTGTTAATGTTTTATTAATTTATTTATTTTATTTATTTTTTTGGAGACGGAGTCTTGCTCTGTCATTCCAGCTAGAATGCAGTGACATCATCATAGCTCACAGAAACCTCAAATTCTTAGGCTCAAGCCATCCTCCTGCCTCTGCCTCCCGAGTAGCTGGGATACAGGCGCGCACCACCACACTCAGCTAATTGTTCTATTTTTTGTAGAGACAGGATCTCCCTCTTGCTCAGGCTGGTCTCAAACTCCTGAGCTCAAATGATCCTCCTGCCTTGGCCTCCCAGAGCACTAGGATTATAGGCGTGAGCCACCTCGCCCTGTCTTTGTTAATGTTTTAAAGTAAGTCAAGTATTTTCTTGCAAAAGCATTTTCTGGATAAGAATCAAACCAGAATCAGGCTCCATTAAATGAGATGTCTTTATAGTGTTGAGTAAAAATATTTTATCGTGAAGTACTTTCAAAATTCGAAAAAAGATTCATGGATTTGGAAAATGGTTTGAGGACTGCAAGGTAAGCGTTACAATAAATCTAAAAGAATTATTGAGTGATGACATATCACAAGGTTAATTTTACTCATTTACTTTATTAATGGCCTGAATGAAAAATGAATGTTACTAATTTATAATTTTTAAAAATACTGAGCTAATACTTTGGCATACTGGAAGAAAATTCAAGTTGCCCTTAATCAACAGAAAAAATGGTCCTGATATAAAAGGATGAATTCAATTAGACTATTTTTTTTTTTTATCTTTTTTTTTTTT